GGACACTATAACCTACTGAGCACCCTAGCCAGGCCTAGTTACATAATTTTGTTTGTGTAAAATTGGAAATCACGTGGCAGTTAAACCTACCACAAAAGAATAGGTGTTATTTTGCACATGCTTAGAATAGGGTCTGAGGCCCAAATGGTAGTTGTCATGTGGTGTATACCGAAAACAAATTGAACCAACTGGAACATCTCTCTTTTGCATTAAATTTTTCTCTTGTGATGTGAAGGAGCATTTCCGGGTGACTCTGAGTTTGCTCATGAGAAGGTTTCATTATTGTGATAAAGAATGAAATGGGTGGGGATCTAACTTAACAAGTTAGGAGTCTTGTGTTTTTTTTTTAAAACAACTTTTACTATAAAATAAAGAATACTGGAAATTGCACACACACATTATATATGTGTACATTATATTCCCTTCCCCTCTCTCTAGAAATAAATAAATAAAATCCTTTTTAAAAAAGCCCTGGCTGAGCGCTGGCCTGTAAACCAAAGGGTTGCCAGTTTGATTCCCAGTCTGGACACATGCCTGGGCTGCGGGCCAGGTCCCCAGTAGAGGGCACATGAGAGGCAAACACACATTGCTGTTCCTTTCCCTCTCTTTCTCCTTCTCTTCCCCTCTGTCTAGAAAGAAATAAATTTTTAAAAAATAAAGTCTTAGTTGTCAAGGACAGAGGATAGTAAAATTAGAGTATCTCACAATTACTCATTTATATTATCTCACATTACACAGTATTACACATTACAACACTAATAATGTCTGTTACCAATCTAGTATCTGAGAACAGTTCATTTTCTGGCATATGCTTTCCCCATTTCTCCATTTATTATTTTTTCCAGTATACATTTTATTTTTCTTTTTAATATATTTTATTAATTATGCCATTATAGTCGTCCCATTTCCCCCTTCATGCCCTTCCACCCTGCACACCCCTCCCCCACCCATCCCCCCTTTAGTTTATGTCCACGTGTCACAAGTTCTTTAGATTCTATATTTCCCATACTATTCTTGCCCTCCCCGTCTATTTTCTACCTATCTTCTCCCCTCTTCTCCTCCTCCCACTCCTGTTGCTAACCCTCCATGTGATCTCCATTTCTATGGTTCTGCTCCTGATACAGCTGTCCTCTTTGATTGCTTTTGTTTTAGGTGTGGTTGTTAATAACTGTGAGTTTGCTGTCCTTTCACTGTTCATATTTTTGATCTTCTTTTTCTTAGATAAGTCCCTTTAACATTTCATATACTAAGGGCTTGATGATGATGAACTCCTTGAATTTGACCTTATCTGAAAAGCACTTTATCTGCCCTTCCATTCTAAATGAAAGCTTTGCTGGATAGAGCCACCTTGGATGTAGGTCTTTGGATTTCATGACTTGGAATACCTCTTTCTAGCCCCTTCTTGCCTGTGAGGTCTCTTTTGAGAAATCCGCTGACGATCTGATGGGAACTCCTTTGTAGGTGACTGTCCCCTTATCTCTTGCTGCTTCTAGGATTCTCTCCTTCGCTTTAATCTTGGCTAATGTAATTATGATATGTTGTGTGTTCCTTCTTGGGTCCAACTTCTTTGGGACTCTCTGAACTTCCTGGAAGTCTATTTCCTTTGCCAGATCAGGGAAGTTCTCCTTTCTTATTTGTTCAAATAAGTGTTCCACTTGTTGCTGTTCCTCTTCCCGTTCTGGTACCCCTATACTTCGGATGTTGGAACGTTTAAAGATGTCCTGGAAGTTCCTAAGCCTCTCCTCATTTTTTTCTGAATTCTTGTTTCTTCATCCTTTTCTGTTTGGTCATTTTTTTTCTTCCTTCTGACCTACTCCCTTGATTTGAATCCCAGTTTCCTTTCCATCACTATTGGTTTCCTGTGCATTTCCCTTCATTTCAATTAGTTTTAGCCTTCATTTGTTCCTCTGATTTGTGACTAAAATCAACCAGTTCTGTGAGCATCCTGATCACCAGTGTTTTGAACTGTGCATCTGATAGGTTGGCTATCTTTTGGTCACTTAAAAAAAGTATTGGCTCTGGGGCTTTGAGCTGTTCTTGAGCCATAATGTTTTGGTCTGTTCGTACCTGTTACGTATGAGGGGCAGAGCCTTAGGTGTTCACCAGGGTGTGGTGACCCAGTTGCTGGGTTGTGACGCTGTGTGTGGGGGCAGGGTCAGAGAGGGGCGATGGGTTTATTCCTCTCTCTCTTGGATTTTGGTCCCCTCTGCTGCTTCCCGCAAGCAAACCGGGTCCCCTGGTGCCAGCTTCCGAGTGTGTGGGCCTGTGCACCCTCCAGAACCCTGTGGGTCTCTCCAACAAACTCTCTGTGAGCCTGGGAGCCTCTCCCAGCACCTCGACCCTGAAAGTTTTTCCAATTGGTGCTTTTAGGCTTTAATTCCCATTGCTGGGGCCTAGCCTGCGCGGTCTGTCTCACTGCTCACTCCTTCACCTGGTGTATCTGAGTGTGAATGTGTGACCATGGTCAGCCAGCTGCCCCGTGCCCCCACTGGGTCTGCCCGTTGCCACCACAGACCTGGGATCTGCCAACTGCCGCCTCTGCTCCTGGGTCAGTCTGGCCACTTTTTCCTGCCCAAATCCGCTCAGCCAGCCACTGACTCCGCCCCTCTTACTGGTCTGGCTGAATGGCTCGTTGTTGTCAGACTTCTGTACAGCTCAATTTTCTGTGTTTTGGTTGCATTTTTGTTACTAAAACTTTGTTGTCTTTAAACTTGGTTGTGCGAGGAGGCACAGTGTTTCCACCTACGCCTCCAACTTGGCTGGAAGTCCCCATTTCTCCATTTAAAGAAAATCTACATTGCCCTGGTCAATGTGGCTCAGTTGGTTGGACGTTGTCCTGCCAAGTGAATGGTCGCTGGTTCCATTCCCTGTCAGAGCACATGCCTGGGTTGCATGTTCAGTGCCTGGTATGATCAGTGTCTCTCTCTCACATCGATGTTTCTCTCCATTTCTCCCGCCCCCTCTCTAAATATAAATAAATAAAATCTTTTTAAAAATCTACATTACGTGAGCACTGAGCATCCAGGCATTACATACTCTATTCTCTCCCTGTTAGCCTTCATTTAGTCTTAGTTCTATCCATAAGTACATAGTTAATGCTTGCCACCAGTCCTTATGGTAATGTCTCTCACCATTTTGGTTGTCTGAAGCTCATTCTCTAGCAAATTCCTCAGGAAGGAGTCAGGAGAACAAAAGTTCCCAAGTTCCTGCATATTGATAAATGTCTGTAATCTTCCTATTGCATTTAAGACATATTTTACCACATATATATCCTTGGCTCCCAAGGGAGATTACGTTCTCCCAAGGAAGAATATATATATTTCTCCCTGAGTATCTTAAATATCTCTTACTCCATTTTTTTGCCCAGCATAAACTGTTAGTTTCAAAAAGTTTGAGGGTGATCCAATTTCCTTTAGAAACCACCCGCTGTTTTTGCTAAAATGTCCATGGTAGTTTCTGCTTTTCTTTCCAGTGTAGTACTTTTATTAGCCTTTGTTGTTCACTTGGGGTCAGAACTCTCAGGTGCACAGTATGATTTTTCAAATCAAATCTTTTTTGGTTTGTTGGTTTCTTTAGATTGAGGAAAGTTTCTTCCATATTAGTTTTTAGCCTTTATTCCCTTTCCTTGCTTTAGTTTTCTTCTTCAGGTAATCCTATTATCCATATGCCAAGTTCTCCTTGCTTCCTTTAATATTTGTCACTTTTTTCACAAATCTTTTTATTTTTATTTAGATAATGGTTCTGATATTTTATCTTTTTATATTTTTATTGTATTTTCCCCCACTAACATTTATTTTCCTTATACCCTCTTCCACCTCAACACAAATAAAACAAAATCTCTGGGGGGGGGGTAAAAAAGATCAAATGAGATAATATCTGAGACAAGGAAACTGAGGCTCTGAGGTACCAGATGATGTCCTATCAAATGGGAGGAGTACTGGGTTACCCCAGCTCAGTCTGGGCTTTTTCTGCTAATACCGTATTGCTTCCACCCTTCTGATGACCACCCTGTTCGCTACCTGTCCCTCCCCAGGGCAGCTCCAAGTATCTGCTGTGATGTAATGACCAAGCTGGGCACCAAGAATCCAGTCATTCAAAACTGCAGGCCTGCCGTGGCTGGTGTGGCTCAGTGGATTGAGCACAGGCCTGCGAACCAAAGCATCACTGGTTCGATTCCCAGTCAGGGCACATGCCTGGGTTGTGGGTCAGAGCCCCAATAGGGGGAGCACGAGAGGCAACCACAAATTAATGTTTCTCTCTCTTTCTCCCTCCTTTTCCCTTTCTTTCAAAAAAATAATAAAATCTTTAAAAAAGTAAAACTCCTGCCCTGAGGAATTTCTAAGTACTGCTCCTTTCTTGTAAATGTGGACTACCCTCCAGTTTGGTTGCTGCCCAGAGCCTTCAGGTAGCTGTTCTCTTATAATTTGTTCAGTATGCAACTGTTAGTTGTAGGAGGGGTTGACCTAATCCAACCCGCTCTGCCAATACCATAGCACACAGGTGGCAAACCCAAGGCCCATGGGCCGATCTTCCACCTTGTTTTATCCAGCCCAGCACCTTGTTTCTACTTGGCAGCAGCGCTGAGCTCTCGCTTAACAGTTCAGGAGTAGTTACATTCACACAGTCCTAAAGTTACACTTGGCCCTTTGAAGGCAACTGCGAGGCTGATGTGGCCCCTGGTAAAAATGAGTTTGACACCCCTCGTTTAGCGGAATGCTCTCTGTGGATTTTTGGTTTTGCTATCTAGCTGCTCCATGTGTTTTAATGCCATATTTGCAGATCCTCGAAAACTATACTTGTCCACTGACCCATCCTCCCAGAATCATCTGCTGTTTATTTTACTAATAAATGAAGTAAAATACTGCCTAGAGGATTGGTGTTACTCAGAATCTCTGTCCAGATTACTTCTGCTCCTAAAGCATGGCAATACTTGGTTGGAATTTGACTGCTGGGAACTAAGTGCCGAGCAGTGGAACTATGTTCCTCCCAGCCCTTCATACCTGAGGTTGTCTTGGGTATTCCCTGATCTGGTAAAGCTCCCACCTTCCGATGCTGATCATACCAGTCATTCACTGTCATAGATGCCAGACTTGGATAACCAGCTCCAAATACCCTGCAAGAATCACAAAGTATTAAGAAAACAACATAAATGATGGTAGTATAAAGCGTCTTCTCTTCATTGACAAAGCCTGGGCCTGGCTCATCCTCCCTCCCCTAACCAGCCAACTATTGAGGAGCTGTGCAAACTCCTAGGAGGATCTGTAAAAAAAGGCATCCAGGAAGGGGCATGAAAGTCAAGAGTTTTTATGAGACAATAAAGAGCCCATATCATCTCCCAATAAGCAATCCCCGAGGCCAATGCCCCACGAACTGGTGTGGAGACCACGGAAGGGGTATTTGTAGTTGGTGCAGAGGAAGGAGACTATCCTGCCACCCTACGGGACAGCGTCTCAAGAACTCAGATGGGCCCACATGTCCTTTGCAGAACTGTCACTGAAGGCCATGATGGGAAACGATTTTAAAAGGTACAATTTTCCATCTGATTCCTTTCTTTGTCTGGTTTTTAATTACTCAATTAAGTGACTGATTCTTTTCATTGGTTTCCTTTTGAGCCTCTTCTGAAGCTCCAATTTGTGAGGGAAATGCCTGCTGAAGACAGAGAGAAAGTACTAGAAGAGATATTAACCCTTTGATGAAAGAACAGCTTCCCAGGTGAAGCCATGCCTGTTAACAATGCCCATTCTGTCTGTTACCATGCACTGCAAGGGAACCACAAAAGCAAGGGGCTTGAAAAGGCAACCCACTTTTCAGCACAACCTACTTGGCTTGGGCGGCATTCCGAGTGAGAATAAAGGGTTTCATTGGAGGCCTGGCCTGAGGAGTGGAGCCAGAAGCTGATGCCTAAAAAGGAAATTAACTATCAGAATTGTATCTGCCTTTTGCCCACCCCACTCTGCAGCCTCATAGGTCTTTGGGTGTTTAAAAAGCCCTAGATTCAAAAGTCACTTACTCCCTACATATCAGTCTCTGAGACACAGCAGCAGAATACTGATGATGGTGATTGCTTAGCTTTGCTGAGGACACCTAAGGACCTTCCTGAGGGAAAGAGAAATCTCTCCCCCCAAATCACCTCACCATAAGGGAAAGTTTACTTGGCTTTAAAATGCCCTCCCCACCCTGGCTGGTATGGCTCAGTGGATTGAGTGCCAGCCTGCAAACGGAAAGGTTGCTGGTTCAATTCCCAGCCAGGGCACATGCCTGGATTGAGGGCCAGGTCCCCAGTAGGGGGCATCTGACAGGCAACTGATGGATGTATCTCTTGCATGTTTCTCTCCCTCTCTTTCTCACTGCCTTTCCGTTGCTCTAAAAGTAAATAAATAAAATCTTTAAAAAATTAAAAAAAATAAAATGCCTTCGTAAAAGGAGATGCCAAAGCCTTCTTCCATGTTCCATGTAAATCCCTTGGGCCGAATTTTAAGTCCCTTTCCTCAGCCCGGCCTTCAGTGCTGAAGTTCAAGTATGACCCCTTCCAATTGTAATTATGCTATTAACTGTCAAGAACCCCTGAGGACAGGGGTGTCAAACTCATTTTCACTGGGGGCCACATCAGCCTTGTGGTTGCCTTCAAAGGGCCAAAATAATTTTAGGACTGTATAACTGTAACTCCTCTTTAACTGTTAAGGAGTTTAAATTACATTCAGCCCTTTGAAGGCAACCACAAGGCTGATGTGGCCCCCAGTGAAAATGAGTTTGACAGCCCTGCCGTATGGTCCTTTAGAAATGGATGTTGCTAAATGCAAGGGTGGGGGGAAAATGAGTGAATACTTTTCTAATGTAGCTATACAGAAATGTTTCAAAGAACCCTGGCTGTCTGGGTGCACAACGACACCAAGTCTGCTCAAAGAAAAGGTATTTGGTTGGTGCTCCATCACGCCCAGGTCCAATCTCAATACTAGATGAGAGAGCGTGGGGAAAAAAACCCCAACAAAACAAAGAGGGGCACGGGGGAGGACCCAGAAGAGTCCAGCCTCGCACTGTGTAAAAACCACACTAAGGCCCTGGTTGCCATGGCTCAGTGGATTGAGTGCCAGCCTGCAAACCAAAGAGTCACCAGTTCGATTCCCAGTCAGGGCACATGCCTGGGTTGTGGGCCAGGTCCCCAGTAGGGGGTGTGCAAGAGGCAACTGCACATTGATATTCCTTCCTCTCTTTTTCCCTTCCTTCCCCTCTCTCTAAAAATAAATAAATAACACCTTTAACATGAGGAACTAGGTTGATGTTAACCTGAGGCAAAAGCTCCTGGGCTAATTAATAGAAATCAAATTAAGAGGTTTCTCTGAGGACTTAAACACATGCCGTTGACTGGCTGATATATTCAATTTGATTCACGTCATATCAGAGCCAAAAAGTAAGTGGCAGCAGAGCTTAATCTTTGGAACCATCAGCTCCAAAGCAGGGTTATGATCTTGTCGAAGGCAGCCGAAGAAGCTGCGGTCACTGCATTGTCTTGACCACTGTGCCCGACACTGTGTGCATAGAAGGCCAGGCCATGTGTCACACTCAGGTGACCCAAAGGCGGGAGAGGGCATCACAGTGTTAAGATTAAATTGCAAGTCCTCCCCCAAGTGAAATACATTCCATGTCTTTCATTTTATCATCTTCTTCCTCTTTTCTCTCTCTCCCTCGGGTCCACTTTTCTTCTACATCCCCATCCTAGTCTTCTTCCTCTTTGTTTATCCAACTCAAGTAGATTTTAAAAGCCTGTAGCCCTGTGCCTTCCTTCAGCATCCAAGACTTCCCATAGACCCAAAACCAATTTTTCCTTCAGAGAACTCTCCCACCCCCATGGCATGTCACAAAATTACAAAGTAGACAGCATTGGGGGGATGCTACTGTCAACTAGAGAGAAAACTACGCTGGAGAACCTCCAGCCTGCTTCCACTGATCTTTTTTTTTTAAAAGATTTTATTTCTTTACTGTTAGAGAAGGGAAGAAGGTAGAGAGAAATGTCAATGTGTGGTTGACTCTCATGCGCCCCCTACTGGGGACCTGATCCACAACCCAGGCATGTGCCCTGACTGGGAATCCAACCAGCAATCCTTTGGTTCACAGGCTGGCACTCAACTCACTGAGCCACACCAGCCAGGGCTGATTCCACTCATCTTAATAAGGACAACGGTTTTATGTAGACTTAAAAGGATTTTGATTTGATTCTTATCCTTCAGAATATTCCAATCTCTGACTTTTGAGCTACAAAGGCAGTCACCAGACTTACCTCTTTGGGAACGTCTTTTTCCCTCAGGATCTTGATCTCCTGGTCAATGCTGTCAATCTCTTCTAAGCTGATGCTGATCCACCTCCGCAGGTGCAGGAGGTAATACTCACGAACATGCTCGTCATCTGCTTCCCCGCTCTCCACGGCAGCTTTCATGGCAGACAGCCTGTGCTCCATCTCCTTCTTCTGCTTGTATCTGGGCCATGGAAAAGCAATACCCATGAACTTAAACATGAAGAGGTAGTCCTTCGAAAGAAGGCCACGGTACGATCTTACCTTTGCAGGTGATCAGGCCAGTCAGCATGCCAGTTTCCACTGTGGCAAAAATATAAATTTTTTTATATTCTTTACCCCACAACTTGCCAGCAAGGCAGTTTTCACAAAAGACCACGAAGCAAGAAGGGATCAGCAGGGGCTGAGTAATACAGCTGAAGCCATCTGAAGCCAGAAAAACAGAGCTGCAACCTGATCTGAACGACTTGTCCCATCATCTTTACAGATGGAGTGCCATAATAATTTTCTATCAACCTTTCTTAGCTTGGGGACTTACTACCACACAATGTCAATTCGGAATCCCAGCATCAGAGTCACAGAATCTCAGGGATCAATTACCTGCCATTGACACAGGAATTCCTTGTGAAATAGCCTTAACCACCCCCCCCCCAAATCATCTCTTCTTTTGTGCTGGGCAAAACACCCCCAGCTCTTCTGACTCATCTTACTGTCATTTAAAGTCTCATAACCACTCTGCCTACCTTTTCAGGATGCACTCTAGTATCTCATCTATCATTCACTCCACAAATATTTACTGAATACCTATTGTATGACCAGCACTGAGAACAATACCAGCACCGGTATTGTTCTCAGTACCGGTGACACAGCTGTGTATACAAGAAGGCCCTTGTTCCCCTGAAGCATCCATTGTAGTGGGAGACAATGGACAAAAAGAAATAAATAGATGAGGACTCAGGTGGTGATGAGTGCTATGAAGAAGCAAGAAGTAAGGTAAAATGGAGAGAGCAATGGTGCAACATACAGGGCTGTTACCGTATACAAAGTGATCAAGCGACACCTCTCTGAAGAGGTGACGTTCGAGCAAAGACTTTGAAGACATAGGGAAGCAAGCCGTGCCAATATCTAGAAGCGTCTTCTGTTTTGTTTTCTTTTCACAGAAGAAAATGAAGGTTTAGTACATACACATGGGAATTCACATTAAGCGTGTAAATTCCAAAGACAGTGAAACAACGCTGGGTATATAAGACATGTTTGGAGAAAGAAGAGTGGGGACAGGGTATTAGATTTCATGAGAGTGGGCGATGTGTGTGTAGTTGAAGAGGGAAACACACACAGCAGGAAAATCCCCCTGGGTGACTCAGAAACCATAGGACACGGGGGGTGGGGTGGGGATCAGGCTAACAGGCCCCTGCCCAAAGCCCTGCTATTTACTGAACTTCATTCAATTCAGGCGAAGGTGGCATCCTCGGACCTCCTTCCTGAAGCAGGTTCTCTACCTACCTGATCTCTCAGGTGGGAAAGGCCAGCAGGCCAGGGTTGTGGGGGAGGCAGAAATCAAAGGTTCTCAGTCTTGCTTCTTAATCAACAGCTTAAAGTCGGTATCCCCAAAAAAGCAGCTTCAGGGTGGCAAAACGTTGGTTCCCTCTGGGTGTCTGTTCCAAGGCACGGGGGAAGCAGACATGAAGGTCCTAGGTGGAAGAGGGCCTGGCCAGCCATGTTTGAGAAGCCACAAGGAGGCCAGTGTGGCTGGCAAGAAGGGAAGCATGATGACCGGAAGTGAAGTCAGATAGACAACCAGGGTCATAATTTGTAGACCCCCTCAGGGAATAAGACCCACTACATAAGATGCCATGCCATTTGCAGTGTGGTGGAAAAGCTGCTGGAGGCTTCGGGATAGAACACATGGCAGGAAGACGGTGACAGGGAAACTTGTTTACATGGGCCACTGGCTGTGTGTGTGTGGACTCTAGACTACCGGGGCTGGGAGGCAAAGGGGAAGTAGGGAATCAATTAAGAGGACATTCCCAAAATCCAGGTGGCAGAGAGTGACTTTCGAGAAGGAGGTAGTGAGATCTGATGCATTTAAAATATAAAATAGGACCCTGGCTTATGTACCTAGGTGCATGGAGAGTGGGCTGTGAACCAAAGGGTTGAGGTTCGATTCCCAGTCAGGGCCTATGCCTGGGTTGTGGGCCTGGTCCTCAGTGGGGGCCATGTGAGAGGCAACCACACACTGATGTTTTTCTCCCTGTTTCTCCTTCCCTTCCCCTCTCTAAAAATAAAAAAAAAAGAAATAAAACATTAAAAATATATATATCATAGGCCCTGACTGGTGTGGCTCAGTGGATCGAGTGCCAGCCTGCAAACCAAAGGGTTGCTGGTCCAATTCCTAGTCAGAGCACATGCCTGGGTTGCAGACCAGGTCTCCAGTAGAGGACATGTGAGAGGCAACCGGGGGGGGGGCGGACAGGAGAAAGAGAAGCAGAGAAACATCGATTACTTGCCTCTCTGGTACATGGAGACTGAACCTGCAACCCAGCCATGTGTCGCAACTAGGAATCAACCAGGAACCTTTCACTTTGCAGGACACCACTCAACCAACTGAGCCACAGTGGTCAGGGTGCTAATACTGTCTTTAGCAGGCAAGGCAATGTGTTTACCATTCCAGTTTTCCTGTGAATCCTGTCCCCACCCACAGTCTTCCAGGCTTTGCTCAATCAGTTACCTGCCCTGGTCATTAGCAGTTACGATTTTTCACTCTACAGGTGCCGTTCCCCCATTCTAGAAACACCTGATGTTCTACCTCTTTTTCTTCTATGCTATAGTGTAAACTGCACCTGAGCTGGGAATTTAATGACTTGAGTTTAAATCCTACCCTGCACTTACTAGCTCTGTTACTTGGACGAGTCAATTCTCAGAAGAGCCCATGTCCTTGTCTCTAACATGGGGATATTTGCTTTGTCGGGTTAAGAGGATCCAATGGAACAACACACATGGAAGTGCTTTATAAACAGCCAGGTAATACAAATACTGTCAGCTGATAAGAAAACTGAGGCTAGGAGGGGCTAGATGATGCCCCACCCATGAAGTGGTAGAAATTGGACTGGTCTCACCCTGGCTGGTGTAGCTCAGTGGATTGTGCACTGGCCTGCCAGCCAAAGGGTCGCCAGTTCAATTCCCAGTTAGGGCACATGCCTGGGTTGTAGCCCAGGTCCCCCATGGGGGGCACGTGAGAAGCAACCACACATTGATGTTTCTCTCCCTCTCTTCCTCTCCCTTCACCCTGTTTAAAAATAAAATAAATAAACTCTTTTTAAAAAATTGGACTGGTCTCCCCAGGTCTGTCCAACTCCCAAGTCCAGGCTTTTCCTGCCATGCCATATTGCTTCCATCTTTCTGATGATCACTCTATGTGTCCTTCCCAGAGACACCTCAAGCACCTACTGTAATGCAATTACTGGGCTGGGCACCAAGGATACAGTGATACAGCTGGGATACTCAAGATGTAAGTACTCATGGTCTGACCTTTAGGAATTTCAAGTCTAGAGAATAACCCACAGTATATTAAGTGCCATAAACTAAGTGCTGTACTATCTGGAAGGGGCAATAGGTAGGGAGAAGCTTCAAGGACATGACTTTTGCTCTCTTCCCTAGGCTTCTACAAGTACTTCTGTCTGGGCCTTGTTGAGTCTCTTACCTCTGATTACTCTTTTCTTTCCCTTCCTTCCCCCCCCAAACTTTCCCCCAAGGTTTTACCCTTGGCTTTTTTCTCTCTACACGTTATCCCTTGGCAAACCACACAAACCCACCATGCACCTATATTTTGAGCATCCATCACAAAACTGTCTCACAAGTTTTAGTTACACAGTCCCACCTGTCTATGGAGATTGTCCCTTTAGGAACTCAATTCAGTGCATTCAAAAATGGACTCATCACTTACCTAGCTCCTAGTCTTCTATTTCAGGGTGTCAAACTCATTTTCACTGGGGGCCACATCAGCCTTGTGGTTGCCTTCAAAGGGCCGAATGTAATTTCAACTCCTTAACAGTTCAGGAGTAGTCACATTTATACAGTCCTAAAATTACACTCGGCCCTTTGAAGGTAAACTTGAGGCTGATGTGTGGCCCCTGGTGAAAATGAGTTTGACACCCCTCCTCTATTTCTTCTAAAAGAATGCAGGTGCAGTTAACCAACCAGACTTACACTTACTCTTCCAAGATGGGATTGAGGGTAGAAAAGATACGTGAAGAAAAAGGTTTCAGGCGAGAGAGAGATGTTTTATGTAGCATGACCTCACTATGTAAAGTTGTGGGGCGAGGGAGGGAGGACTTACAAAAAGCAAATAAGGATCTGAACAATTATTTTTCTATTTGTATAAATGCTTCTTGCAAAAGTCATGGCTCTGAGAGCTATACCTTCATTTTTATTACTTCGTCCCAGTTGAAGTACTACCAGAACATGTTAACTTCTCTGCCAGTCTCCTCCTTGTCCATACTCTATACATGTTACTTCCTCATGCAGACCTCCAAGCTTCTGCCAATGAGACTGTTCTCCATTCCCTGTACATACCTCCAACTGCCTTTGGCTTTTGCTCATTTGTTCCTCCTGCTTGTCAACAATAAATATTTCTTGAGCACCTTCCACGTGCCAGACACTGTGCTAGGCACACTGCAGCAAACGAGAAATGGCTCCTGCCCTCCTGCAGTGTACATTCTAGCAGGGGAGAAAGGCAAGGCCTCGAAAGACAGTTAAATGAAGGGCATTCCATGCAAAGAGAACAGGCACAAAGAATCTGTAGAAGGAAGGAGCTGGGTCTGTTCAAAGAACTGAAAGGCCATGGTGGCTGGAGTTAATGAGCGCAGGGAGTGATACACGACATGGGAGACAGGCAGGTGCCAGGCCAGGCAGGGCCATGTAGTTAGTGCTTTGGCTGTTTCAGGTGAGAGATGCTGGTGGCCTAGACCACGGTATGATGGTGCAGATGGAGAGAAACAGACGGATGTGACATCCATGTTGTAGCTAGAACTGGAAGGCCTCACTGCTGGATGGGATGTGGAGGTCCAGAAGGGCCAGAAGCTAACTTCTCAGTTTCTAGCTTATACAGGCAGGTGAATGGTGGTAAACCTACCAAGATGGTGAAGAGCCAGGTGTGGGTAGATGTTTGTGGGTTAGAAAGCCAAAGGTTTGATTTAGGGCAGGTTAAGTTTGAGCTGTCTATGAATCCTCCGTGTAGGGTGTTGGAAGTATGAGTCTGAAGGCCAGGGGAGGTCTGGGCTATTGATGTAAATGTGAGAGCCATTAGCAAAGAGATCATGTTGATATCCTGCCTGGCAGGCATTTAAAGAAACTGTTTCAAGATCAAGTTTTCTAGCCAAAGACATGCCAATCAAAACGATGAGATACTTTTGTCTGTCCAATTGGGTTTTCTAAGTGTTAACCAAGACCAGTGCAGTGGGATATGCTCTGAGATTTGTGCAAAGCAATGCTGTTACCATCAAGAATCTTAAAATATTTAAAACCTCCAATCTGGTCACTGGTCCTTCCACAAATCTATGCTAAGGAAACAGCGACAAATGCAGTTAAAGATATTTGTACATAACATTACTCAGAATAGCAAAAACAAACAAAAACCAAATTATAGTGTAAGTATTTGATAATAAAAGATTAGTTTAGCCCTAGCTGGGGTGGCTCAGTGGACTGAGTGCCAGCCTGCAAACCAAGGGTTGATGGTTCAATTCCCAGTCAGGGCACGTGCCGGGGTTGCGGGCCAGGTCCCTGGTAGGAGGCACACTAAAGGCAACCACACACTGATGTTTCTCTCCCTCTCTTTCTCCCTCCCTTCCCCTCTCTAGAAATAAATTTAAAAAAATACTTCTTTAAAAGAAGATTAGGTTAATTACTTATGGTACAACTATGGGATGAAATATTATGTAACTATTAAAATACCACGGTTTCAAAAGACACAGGGAAGTGCTCGCAGTAGGTTAGGTTAAAAAAAAGATAAAAAACCTGTATTTACAGTGTTATTCCAAATTTATTAACTAAAATAACTACATATCTGGAAGGAAATACATCAGAAAGTTAACAAAGATCATCTCTGAGTGCTAGGATTAAGGCTTATTTTAATTAAAAATATTCTTCTGTTTTTCCAACTTTCTACAATGAGTATTACTTGTACATTCAGGAAAATCTGTAATCTCTATTTCTAACCGTTCTTCAAGGCTCATCTCAAATGCTGTTGCCTTCTGAAACCTCCCCCGTCACTCCAACCAGATGTGATTGCTCCCTGTTTTTTCTCCACAACACTGTTTATCATCTTTAGGGCACATGCCATCTTTTTTTTTGGGGGGGATATATTACAATTATTTGGATATCAAATTCATTGTTTACATGACCTTTTTTATGCCAGTGGGCCGCCCTCACCTTCTTACAAAGGATATGATGCTGAATTCTGCTTCCTGCAAGTCTATCCCATTTCCTCAAAAATCCTCTGCTCTCACTCACTAGTCCCTAACTAGTCTTTATTATTCTTTATAGCCCTCCCAACCTGAAATTACATGATTATTTAGTAGCTGTCTGCCTCTTTGCCAAAATACAAGCTCCATGAGGGCACAGACCTTGTCTGGGTCTCCATGACCTAGAACAGTCCCTGGCACACAGGAAAGGCTCAATAAATATTTGCCAAATAAACGAACCCACTTTCACCTCTTTATCAGGTCTCTCCTGAGTTTCATGCCACCAAATACCTCTACTTGGATGTCTCCTAGACACCTTAAATGCAACGTGTCTCAATACCAAATCTGATCTTCCCCATCCCGTTCTATTCTTCCTCCTCTATTCCCCATATTAGTGAGGTCTTCAGCCATCCACCTGAGTGAGTTAGGAGCATGGCCATCTTTCATGCTGCTTCCTTCTACCCCACCGCCCTCAACCAACTGATCACCAAGTTTTCTACAGATGCAACCCTCCTAAGTAAATATTCCCCCATGCCTTCTGCCATTGCATGGCCACAGTGGGGTCTCATCATCCGTGTGGACTAATGGTGCCTGACTGCTACCAGGGTGTGCTGGTGAAAATGCAAATATGGCCAGGCTACTGAGAAAAAAGGGAAGAAGAGAAGAGAAAAAAGGAAGGAAGGAAAGTAAAGGAAAAAAAAATCCAGTGGATCCAAATCACCAAGCAAAGTCTAAGCTCTTTAACATGGACTAACATGTAATATTTTAACATTTACATGTTAACATTATGCTAATTACATTGTTACATTAACATAAAATTTACAGAATATTTACTATGTGGCAGATACTGTGCTAACAAGTATTATGTGCTTCATCTTATTTATGCTTCTGAACCCTATGATAGATATCTTTATTACTTAGATTTCACATATGAGGAAACCTGAGGCTCAGATAGGTTAAATGAGTTACCCAAAGTTCAATGGCTTATCAAGTAAAGCTGGGTCTCCAACCCAGGTCTCTGTCTGTACTCAGCTACAAAGCTATAACAACAGCTTCCTTTGAGTGCTTTTTATGTATGAGAAAGGACTGCTGTTATCTGACTTTTATAGCTGGGAAAATTAAGGCACTGAAAGATTAAGCAGCTTACCCAAAGTCAGGTGATTGAATGGTGGAGCTGGGATTCAAACCCTTTCCCCACATTCTTAGCAATGAGGTTGTTCCTTCACCTTCCTCTGCACCCAAGAACTCCTAGATCTGAACCCTAAAACATTCTTCAGCATCATTCCTTTCCCCTCTCCACTACCCCCTTCATATTCCAACATTACCTAATTGCTTATAGTTATTCCCCACCCCCACACCAGCACAGCTCTGTAATGTCCCTGCAGAGGGACATTACTAAGGCTAGCTCTGCTGTCTAATGCCCTCCTTTCCTCTTCCTCTAGCTAATATTTCTACTTGTCCTTGAACAACTCATCCCAGGAGTCGCCTCTTCTAGAGAGCCTGCTTCTCTCTCCTGCTTACTCTTTGGCTTGCTGCCCCTCCTGTCTGTCACAGTACCTTGTACATCTTTCTACCACATCCTTTTGTGCTGACACTGCTTTGATGCCTCTTTTCCTCACTAGATTGTATGCTTCTCTGAGGCAAAGATGACCCACACTCATAGATGACCCACATGCCCCCAGTGTCTACTATAGTTCCCAGACACTATGAGCATTCTTTAAATGCTTTTAAAAAATAAACTGAGGCCCTGGCTGGTGTGGCTCAGTGGATTAAGTACTGGCCTGTGAAACAAAGGATCACTGGTTCAATTCCCAGTTTGGGCACATGCCTGGGTTGTGGGCCAGGTGCCCCGGTGCAGAGCATGTGAGAGGCAACCACACATTGATGTTTCTCTCCCTCTTTCTCTCTCCCTTCCCCTCAGTCTAAAAGTAAATAAATAAAATATTTTAAAGAAAACCTAACCAAACTGAGAGCAAGCGACTTGTTCAAGGCACAAGATGAAGCTGCACTGGGACTAAGATCAGTTGGGGATGTTATACACCTGATCCAGCACTGTTAAAACGGAGCTTGTGAACCAGTGGAACCTAAAGGGATGACAGCAACAAGATATTGTGCCCTTCAGAGATATCTGCCCCACTGTACCTTATGAATATTGCTATATTGTGCCATAGGAGATTGGGAGGCATTCTACTAAACTACATTGCCACTGTGAGCAACCATAAGTAGTCTAATGCTCAGATATGATCATCTCAACAAAGGCAGAGGGTTCTCGTAAAGCTCAGTAGAGTTTGCTCGTGGGCTATACCCAATAAAAAACCAAAAGAGTAACATACACCATTGTCCACACCCCCTAAAAAAACATGCACCCCTCCCCCAATAGCATTGCCATTGGGCAGTTTTCAAATTATAGCTATTGACCCACCTCTCTATTTTAGCCTGTCTTTGAGATGCCATAGCAACGAGGTTAGGATGGGCCATGGAAGAACTAGCTGTGTTACTTTCAGCTGAGTTGTTCTTGGTTTTAGGCAACTCAAACTCTGCCACGTGATAGTGTTGGCAATGAGTTAAGTAGATTAAAAAGTGTTCTCGAGCCCACTGCAAATCATCTAGCCGCTTGCTGGGGTTGACTTGTTTCAGAGCGAGCGCTCCTTGAAGTGCTGGCACCATCAGGTACTTCAGGTCGGAGGAAGCAATCTCTTCCAAGTCTTCATTATGGCTGGAAAGAGCAAAGAGGAGGCTGTGAAGCCTAGTTGGTCATTCAAACGGTGGCCCTTGCTTCCTGGAGGAGGGGAGGGTTGAGGTGGGAATGAGGTAAAGGGAGGAGACAAGGGGAACAGCGGCCGGTTTTCTTCAATGAAACGTGGCTGAGCGGTCACACCCAATGCCTCTGCAAACAGACCATGCTATGTAACAGAGTCGTGGAATATTGACTATATGGGAGAGAGATGGAGAATGTAAACAATGCACACGAGATCACAGTGAGAGGCAGGCAGGAAAGGGTGCTAGTCTTAAAGGTCTCCCTCCACCCTGGCTCAATGGCTCCACCCCTGGTAACCAAGATTACGGTACCTTCATTGTCAGCAATTACCCTCTCCCTATACCTGAACAAGTCAAGCTGCAATAACATCTCAGCCGACTGCTTCAGGAGGTGTAGTCCTTTCAACACCTTCTCTTGCACTACCCGGGCACCGGTGGGTTCCGTCGCCACTTCCACTTCGTCCAGAAGCCGCTGGGAGGTATCGAACAGCTCAGGGAGGCGCGGCGGCAGTAACTCTTCTTCTTCGGCGGCTGCCATCTTGCGGGAGAGAGGAAGCAGGGAGACCTCACTTCCGGGGTTAAAGGCAACCTCGGGAAAGCGCTCCGCTTGGACCGACGAAACCGGAAGTAGCCCTACAGCACCCGTAGCCCGTCGTTGCCGAGGTGCCCAAGGTCCGCCGGAAGCAGCTGTTTGGCGGCTCGGGCACCCGTTTCCATTGAATCGGTTGGAAATCGAAACCGAGTTGATTTTGATTTCCAACCGAGCTGCCCCTTACTAAAGGAGCAGGACCCTCGGCGCTGTTTTACAGCTAGCTCCTCGTCGCTAGTGCGGTGCTGGGAAGCTCCGTGGTCCTGAGGCCCAGCTGGGGCGGGGCGGGGCGGAATAATGGGCGAGCCCCGGCGCGCTTCCGGAACTGGCCCGCCACGCGCCTCTGCCCGCCACCCGCATTCCGGGGGCTGCTCCAGCCCCCGCGTTGCACCCTGGGTCCGCAGGTGTGGGTGCGCGAGCGCGAAGTGCAAGTAGCGCCCCCCTCTGGCTTCTATCCAGCCACAGCTGGAGCTCTGGGATCCTCCCATCCAGTCCTTTCCCATCACTTCCCCTTCATGTCGCCCTCCACACACAAACTTCCTTTCAAGTTTTCCCCTGAAACCTTCCTTGCCCCACCTCCCAGCCAAGTTACAGTTCTGTGCATATTTCTCAGAGAGCACCTACAAAATGTTGTATTACCGTTAGTGATTGACAAATCTAGCGCCCTTACCAGAATGAGTAATTTTTGCACCCCTCTGGATAGCTCAGTGACATTATGTGAATAGAAAAATAAGTGATCGGTTTGGAAGGCAGCCCAATTATGCAGAACTTGCACTGGTCATTACGTAGCCATTAGCCACGTGGGGCTATCAAGCACTTGAATGTGGCTATTTATATTTGAGATGTACTGTAAATGTGAAAAACACTAGATTTTGAAAAAATTATTATGAAATTTCATAATAATGTTTACCCTTACTACATTGTTGAAATGCTTATATTTTGTATATTTGGGTTAAGTATGTTACAATTAATTTCACTTGCGTCTTTTTACTTAATGTGCCAACTTGAAAACTTAAATTTACAAAACGGGCTCACATTTGTGGGTTACATTTTATTTCCACTGCACAGTGCTGATGTAAAAATATAATCCGGGGAAGTCTTTGCTTTGAACAAATCAATATAAGTACATACTGATTACCTTTGAACATACCCCGAGTTGTCCTGCTCTGGAAAGTAAGCTTTTAAACTAAATGTGGTTAAGAAGAAAACATTTTTCATGTAAAAACAACTAGAGGGCAATATAGGATAGTATATAACTAGGGGATATGTCACATTGCACAGGCTGTTGGAAAACTAATAAATGACAAGTCATTCTATGGCAGCAATTTCAGAAAGCTTCTTAGACATGGCATGCTGTCACAGAATTTCAAAATTGGACTGTGACTTCACAAATCCGAGGGAAAAACTGACACCAGAAACCTTCATTGACTTGCCCAACCAGTTGTGACAAAGCCAGTGTCTTCTAAATTTAATTGTTTTCACTCCATCAATCTTAAATTGAGTGACTTTAAAAAAGATGGACAGGACCTTTTATGTGGGGCAGAATCAAGCCCTTAGCTATAAAATGATGCTTCAAAAGAGGGAGAGGAGAGAGGGACACAAGTGTAGCTTGACAAAACTTCCCAGATGATTTGAATAAACCTCCCCTTACAACCCCCACCTCCTCCACTTAGAAGCTGAGAAGGGAGGCTCTGGAAAATTACCTAGTATTTGACTTGTCTGGCATTTCTTATGACTCTAAATTCAGTTAAGCTGAACTCCTGGAGTCAGCCTTGGCCAGGGATACAAAGAACAAAGATAGTACTTGTGGAAGAGACCTGGAAACAGTTAAGTGTGAGACCAAAAGATTTGTTGCTGGTCTGGCTCAGTGGATCGAGTGCCGGCCTACAAACTAAAGGGTTGCTGGTTCGATTCCCAGTCAGAGCACATGCCTGGGTTGTGGACCAGGTCCCCAGTATGGGGCTTGGGAAAAGCAGCCACACATTGCTATTTCTCTTCCTCTCTTTCTCCTTCCCTTCCCCTCTCTCTAAAAATAAATCAATAAAATCTTTTTTAAAAAAGAAAATTTGGGCTTTGGCTAGTGTAGCTCAGTAGATTGAGCGTGGTGGGCCTGCGAACAAAATGATCGAGGTTCAATTCCCAGTGAGGGCACATGCCTGGGTTGCAGGCCAGTTCCCAGCAGGGGATGCATGAGAGGCAACCATACATTGATATTTCTCTCCCTCTCTCCTTCCCTTCCCTTCCCTTCTAAAGATAAATAAATAAAATCTTTAGAAAAAATTTGTTCCTGTGCATTTGCTAGGATGAAGACATAGCTTTACTGTTGTCTAAGAGGAAAAAAAAAGCCCAGAATTTGAATTTGGTCCTATACTTTGTAAACCATTTTTATATGGCCTCCAAAAGGACAGTCTTTATGATAGTTGCCAATTATTAATGCTGTCAGAGTGCATATTATATATTCAAATTATCAAAAATATTGCATTGCATCTTATTTTGGGATGATACCAAGATTCAAAAGTGGTTAAAAATAAAAATTAGTTGTTCATTGTGAAGTTGTTCATTGTGTTTCTGTGTGTAAAACACTTTAGCACACTAAATAATTAAAACATCCTGTTCTATATCGGAGGGTTTTTTAAAGATCTTTTAATTTTTATTTATTTTTAGAAACAGGGAAATGAAGGGAGAAAGAGAGGGACAGAGAAATTGATGTGCGAGAGAAACTTCGACCAGCTGCCTCTTGCACAGGACCCAACCAGGGACCTGGCCTGGAACCCAGGAATGTGTCCTGAGTGGGAATCGAACCGATGGGCCTTTGGTTCACAGGCAGGCACTCAGTCCACTGAGCCACACCAGCCAAGGTGGGAGGAATATTTAAAACATTTAAATAGGTCTAATGGAATCCCTAGCAACCTTCTAGCATGAGCCATAGAAAGCTGCACCTCCCTCTGTTCCCTAGGTGACTCCACCCCTCCCCCATCTGTCACCATGGAGATGAGTGTCTTCATTTCTCCCATTCCACTACTTTCACCCCTAGGTGAGCCTCAGAGAGCCCCCTCCCCATCCCCATAGAAAGAACTCCATGCTCCTCAACCTTTGTTCCAGATCACATTCTGCTTCTCAGGCTGTCACCATAGAAACTGAAAGTCTGGCCCCTGCCCCACTCATCTCCATGGTGACCCTCAGCCCTCCCCTCCCCGCCCCCCCCCCAAGATATCACCGGGCTTAATCCTCAGTCTGGGTTTAGAACCCAAGACAGTAGAGGGTGGCTCCCTGCTGTGGTCTCAGTCTTTGTCTCTGATCGTCCTGGCTTTGAAGGTAAGGTGACCCCCCCTCTCTCAACAAAGGGCAAACTCCAGTTTATTCAGCACCAATGAAGTGCCAGGCACTGGGCTGGGTACTGTACACACTGAACTCATTACCAGCCATTTTATGAAGTTTAAGGCAGAGAGGCTCACAGAGGTGAAGGCACTGGGCCTTGCATCCCCTGCTGAGCCCCTTAGCATCTCACTGAAACTAGGGGCCTAGATGACTCTCTTTCCACCATTCTGCTTTGCTGTGCAACCTTGGACAAGTAGCCTCCTGTCTCTGAGCCTCCGTTTTTCCCATTGTAAAATAAGAGTGTTGGACTAATTGTCACCTTAAATATCCTCATTTAATGTTGGATCATAAATTGTTCTCATCTTCAAATTGAGGAACTGATTGTTCAGATATGAATGGTAGAATAAAACTGTTAAGGTGGGTTTTTTTTAAGTGACATAGTAGAGGTATCCATTTTTTTTTTTGTCCAGACTTTTCTGATCAAACACTCTAAGTTTATTGCTTAGAATCTCTTTTACGGTTTTTCAAAATATTTTATTTATTTACTTTCAGAGCGAGGGAAGGGAGGGAGAAAGAAAAGGAGAAACACATGAATGTGTGAGAGAAACATCGACCTGGCCTGCAACCCAGGCATGTGCCCTGACTGGGAATAAAACCACCGACCCTTTGGTTCACAGACCGGCGCTCAATCCACTGAGCCACACCAGCAAGGGCTTTTCTTTTTGAAAGTTCTATTTTGAAGTAACACACGGGAAGTCGCAGGTAGTTTTGAGGACCTTTCACCCCACTCCCATCTCACTGGAGCAGCCTCTCTACCCTTGGCTTTTGCTTCTCTAAGACTGACCACCAGGTGGCAGTTGGAGCCTGAATTCTGGCTTCACCCCTTCCTCCTGGGACTTCTCCCAGACACCTGTGACTATCTTGCCCAGCATTGTTGAACGTTGGCCTAGGCATTTGGAAGCTGTTGAAGTAAGCAGCGTCAGTACCTGAAACTTTGCTTGATTTTCTCTTTAGAAGGTACGAGTTTCCTCCCTGTCCTACCCTGCTCTGTCTCAAATGGAAGAAGCCACAGATTCTGGCCAGTGGGCTGCCCCACAAAGGCCACTGCAACCTCTAAGGATATCAGGGCACATGGCCCTAAAGGGATTTCATTTCTACTTCTGCCAGAATTTAGCAAGTCTCTCCCAGAGTTACTGCACCCCTTAACCCAGTAAAGACAGGGTACTTAAGTACCAGGGTTAAGCCTTGTGAGTCAGCCTGGATTTGGATCTCCACAACACTGTATCCTGTGGAGGACTTATTAACCCTGTATCCTTGGTGATGTTCAATACCTGACCTAGAGTCTTTAAGCCTTATTTTCTCAACTGTAAAATGAGGATAATAATGGTACCAGCCTCGCAGGGTGGTGTGGTGTGAAGATGCAATGGGATAATACATATACATTAACAGAGAATAAGTATAGAATAAGGCTCAATTGAAGAACAGTTGGGCCTTGGGTAAGACCAGTGATGAGAACAAGTATGAGGAGCATGCTATCCAGGTGCCTAGAAGGCTCAAGCCAAGAAAATTGGGAGATAAAGGAAGCCTTCCCAAGAGATCATATTTCAGTTGCAACTTGCAGGACAGGTCAAATTCTTCCAGAAAGTCCAGGTGGAAAGTGAATTCCAGGAATAAAGAATAGAATGTTCAACTAAAGAGATGTGGGGACCCACATGGGTTATTGCAGTCACTGTAAGTAGTTAGGTATGCCTGAAATGTATGTTTGTTTGTGAGTCAGTCACAAGGTACGAAAACAGATCAGCAGGGGCCAG